TGGACATCATGACGAACACGGAGGAGACAAGAAGCATCATCATCACGACGATGGTCATCATCATGAGCATCATCATGGTGAAAAGGGGGAAAAGGGTCATCAGTTCCACGAGAAAGGACACTATGGTAAAGGCCACAGCACTCATGGCCATCACGAGGTAAACAAGAAGGATGAGTACAAGAAGGATAAGGAATTCTTCGACGAAGATCACGATCATGGTCACCATGAAGAACACGGTGGACATCATCACGAACATGGACATAAGAAGGGTGGTCACTTTAAGAAAGGACATCATGACCATCATCATGATGAGGGTCATCATGGTAAGAAGGGTCATCATGAGAAAGGCCATCATCATCATGATCATAAGGGACACAAGGGTCACCACGATCATGATGAGCATCATCACCATCATCATCATCATGGCAAGAAGGGTGGTCACGAAGACCATAAGAAATGGGAATACAAGAAGGGACATTAAAACTTGTTACTACTCAAGAGATACCACCAGCTGCTTTTGAATTGGATTTTGTTACTCGTTCTCGTTCCTATCACCCATATTATCTCTCATATTATGTAATAATCCAGTAATACGTACTCTATATTTGCGTTAATTGTTAATTGTGTATACGTTGTTGAAATAAAGTAACATATTTAATACGTCTTTTTTATATTGCGCACGCAATTTCACACATGTGATACGTATACGTAATACATCTATAGTTATAGAATTCTACTTCAGCCGAGCAAATAGTTAAAGAAATCCATGATTATTATATGAGGCTTAAAAATTTCTATTACCTACCAGATTTCTTTAATATTAAAGTATTCTGTACAATAATTATCAAATTACCAGAAACGTATTTTCTTAATTGAATAGACATATATGCGTTATTGATCGGCAAATTACGAGTACCGTAAATTATCAGCGTGCTTGGGATCTTCGCTTTTAATAAAAATTCCTACGCTCCAGCTATTTATCAAATTCCAATATTAATAAACAGCATTAAATTTGCCGTTGGTTATAACGCATTATCGAGCAGCGGTAAATAAAACGTATTCCCGTGGTATTACGTATTAATATTTAGTTCAGCGAACTCTTATGAGGGTATCCTATAATTCATCTAGAACGTCCATTTTAAAAATAGAGTTCAATTAAAGGGAAACTATAATTGCTATTATCATACCCGTGAAAATTGTATATAGGGTAACTCCGGCAAATACACCGCGCTGGGATTTACGCTGCAGAAGTCAGAAAAAATAGAAGGAGTGGGGGTAATTTTCTCGCAACTACTCTGTTACATGTCTTTATGTTATATTAGTATAGGAGCTATAATTTCGGCTACTTAATATTAATGAAAATATTGTGAGTTGAATCGATTTGTCACTATAATAAGTAGCGCCATCATAAATTATAATCCACATAAAATGATTACTGTAGGACGTGTAAGAGACCTAGTGGTTATTTCGTGATACATATACGTAGAGGAATAGTAAAGCATGTTGTATAGTAAAATACAAGTGCTTTGCTTTCATATTCTTTAGTTCGTTCCAAAAAGTTTATTTTTTAATATATAATATAACGAAAAATAAATAATTCGGATTTCTAATATTTTTTTCATAGTAATAGACAGTACAAAGTTTTTACTGATATAGTTCGTTTATTTTAAACATAATAAATAATACTTAATAAATAAAGTTTTTGATAGATGCGGCGTATATACCGGAGTTACCCTAAGGTATACACAAAAAGCATTTTATAATTTTCAATTAATATTCATTAGCGCACGCATTCTCAATCTGCTTTGCAAGATAACGATACTGGACTACTGCACTTTCCATCGCGTTGCATATGCGTCGTTCGTTTGTAAAAACAGGCGGGGCAAAAACGCACGGGGGCCTACTATCGTATTCATCGCGCCGCGAATTTGATTAACGATCCCACCCTGCAGCAAATGAGATCGCCACTTCCATGGTGTTCGTCCGAATTGAATTCCGGTACGCCGAGCACGGATTAACGGGACTTTATGCACTTCTTTACTGCCACGTACGATGTAGTGAGTGTTCAGGGTTGCGCGAGCCCATTCTCCGCCGGAGATTGCATGCGCGCGGCAACGAATCTACTTGAAATGCTCCGCCCTGTGACAATTCCGGCGGCCGTCGAAAAGGTCTGCTATTGTTTCGCTTGTAATGCGTGTACGTGTGGGTGGTTTAATTAATGTAATTGAAGTGGCTCCGGTGCGGAACGAATAAAAAAAAGAAAAACGTGAAACGCATGAGCTCAAAGAAGTACGCACCACCGCGGTGTACTGCGATTTCGCATGCTTTCATGAAGCCAAAATAATCGCGCCATTTAACCAAATTAATGAAGACTTGGGAACACGTGGCATTTGCATTGCATTCCCACCAATTGTTGCCAGACTAGAAGCTTTTAACAAAAAGAAAAATAATCGTTACTTTTTGCAGAACAAAATTCACATTATTATGTCGCATGTTTTGCCTGTGCGACAAATAGAATAATAAGTTATTTTTTAAGAATAAATGCAACAAGAAGACAAGAGTTCTTTAATAAAACGTTGCTGAAAACTGGCTAAATAAACTTTTCCGTACCTTTGATAAAATTTTCACAAAGTTGAAGCAACCCTTCGAATAATAAATGATGTACCTGCTACAGTCGTATAATGAAAATTGCATCATGAGGCTGCGCAAGAAATCCTTTGACGTAAGCTACTAAATTAAATATTTGGATTTAAGCTCATCTTGTTGGCGTATTCATTGTATTATACTAAAAACCGATATAATCAAATATGTTCATAATCAAAGCAAACTACTAGGGATAGTAAGTGTTCTAATCTATTTTCGTGGAGCATCAAATAAAAGCAATGAAAAATCGATTAAAAAATTCTGTTTACTTTCGATTCAATTTGAATCAGTTTTTTAGTTTATCTTTTTCAACATTTTTATTTTCAATGATACCAGATTGACATTTTTATTTAATAAAAATACTGATTCCGCATGATTATTGGAGATTTAGTTTTTATTATTTACAAACAATTAATTGCCAGACTTATAAATTATATACATAACGTAGATCGATTTAAATAACATTCTAAAATCATCGTTGATTAATCAACGAATAATGAGCGCTGCTTATGTATACGCATTGCAGAAGGCATCAGCAATTTACATTAAGTAGTCATATGTTTTCGATGGCACGCATCGGTTGATCAAATCGTAATAAATGTGACAGTATAAGAAAAATAAGAATCAAGATATAATCAAATATATTTATAATCAAAGCATTACACTACCAGGGATAGTAAACGTTTTAATCTATTTATGTGGAACATCAAATAAAAGCAATGAAACCTCGATTAAAAAGTTCCGTTTACCTTCGATTCAATTTTAATCAATTTTTTAATTTATTTTTTTCAACGACATTTTTATTTAGTAAAAATACTGAATATCGAGGTAGTTAACTAAATAAGTCTATAGAAAATTAATTGTGCAAAGCTAACGTCAATATTGTTCTTTAGGAAAATAATTGACTGTAAAATGTTTTATTTTGACCTCTGAAAGAAATTAATGATATAAAGAACAATTTGGACTAAATTCGAACATAATTATAGAATAATACGACTTAACTTTGTTTTTTAATACAATGTAGTATTGATATCATATTATAAAAGCACATTTTCATTTTGATGTTTTACAATGAGCATAGCATTATGTTGCATATCATTACATGAAACAATGCTGCAACATGTAGGCGTATGTGGTATTTATCTACAAATTTAACCGTCGCAACGCGCGTTTCTGCGGCCCATTAATATCCGGTAATCAATTCAATCAGCTGGCCAATCGATTAACCTCAATTATTGGTGCATTAATGATCTGTGCTATATGTGACATTAAAATTCATACTACAATATTACTAATATATATTACTCTTGCCCGACAATAGAGATCTACTGCTGAAAAATACCTTTATTGTATATTCACAGTTGGAAAAAATGTGTTGAATTTAACATAAATCGCATGTCCCAAACGGTCCATTCAAATTTTTGAATTAATTTTACACAAGATGAATATATTAGAAGGTAACACAAATATTATGTAAAAGAATAAATACAGAGGAAGATAACATCGACACAGTTTATAAACAAATCGTGGGAACATTTTTTTTTCTGAAAATTAACATTTATGATGTATTAAATTAATCACATATTTCATTTATTTGGCTTAGAATTTACGTTTTAAAACACATTATTTTTATGTTACTTGTTCACTTACTCATAAATTTTGTCATTTTGACACTAAAAAACATTGAATATCAATTTCAAAAAATCTTCAAATAATATAATCACATTATGTTATATTAACACTTGAATATGTTAAAAGATTCAACACAAACTGTTAACATAAACGTGAGTGGACCGTTTCCAACACAAATTCATAAATTTTTTTTAGTAAATCAATTCACGCCTTCTTGAACCAATTGTTGTTTTATATCTTAGAAAAAGTCGACAGGCCATATAACATTTTCAAGACAAATATTCAATTAAATTTAATTTTTTAACCGAATTGATGATAATAATACGCAACATTAACGCGATAATATGCCATTTCTTGGTTATTTTTTCGAGCAACTATTTATAATGTGAGTAAAAATTCTATTCACATGATTTGAGAACAATGACGTGTTATTTCACGTGCAATTGTTATCTTCGTCAATAAGCGAAGGCACAAGGCGAGAAGAAATGGCAAAATTACTTTAGTTTGCCGATGGGAAGTGATAAAAGGACGCTGAGAAAAACGGTGGCAATAAATCGTGAGGAATCGATAAGGCGTAATATCACGTTGCCGTCTTGACTGTAATGTAGCTGCTGGGACAAATATGGGCTGGGTGGGGAAGAGAAGGAGAAACTTATTTGTTCCATTAAGACTTAAAGGAGAAAGAAAAGTCAACGAGTCTCGCAACCAAATGATTTTTTGCGCGTGTTAGTATTCGCACGTTTATTCTATATAAAGAATGGTACAAAATACAACAATCGCGCGACTTCGTCGCGTGACTTGGTCCGGAGCAGGTACATAAGCCGTAACAGTAGAACGAGTAATCGCTTTTTGATACGTATTTGAACGTACAACTCTAATGCCCCTTCTTGTAGCCGTACTTCTTTCCGGAATGATGATCGCCTTTCTTGCCATACCCATCGTGATGGGAATGGTGCTCCTCATGGCCGTGTTTGCCATGATGACCTTTATGTTCCTCGTCGTGATGACCTTTATCATGGTGGCCCTTCTTGCCATGGTGATCTTCGTGATAACCGGAATGATGATGACCGCCCTTCTTATGGTGGCCTTCCTTTTTCTCATGATGACCGTTGAAATCACCATGTTTCTCATGGTGTCCACCCTTATGATAATCATCGTAAAACTTATGTTCTTTATGGTACTCGTCCTTATGAAATTTGTTGTGATAACCTTTAGTTTTATGACCCTTCTTATGGCCCTTCTTTTCACCAAACTTTCCACCTTTATGACCCTTCTCGTCTTCGTGATGCTCGCCGTATTTTTCGTGCTCATCATGATGGCCCTTCTTCTTGCCTCCGTGTTCCTCGTGATGACCAGAGTGATGCTCCTCATCGTGCTTACCACTGTCACCTTTGTCATGATGATGATTACTCTTGTATCCCTTTTCACTTTTTCCACCGTGATCCTCGTGATGATGAGATTCATGTTTGTGACCACCTCCGGACTCGTGATGATGACCATCATGTTTAGTCGCTGCTGTCTCGAGATCGGTTTCGCCTATTTTTGCAATCGAGGACGATTCTGCAGCGGGCTCTAAATGACCTACATGATGGTCATCGGTCTCTTGTACATTGCGTCGACTGATGCGCGATTTCGCACTGGCCAAATCTCGGGCATGACACGTCGTGTGCAATGTGAGCGAACATATTGCAATGAATGACAGAAATAACATCGTACCTCGCACCATCTCGATCGCCCTCGGTTTCGATCGAACTGATGGCCGATGTTACTACGGTTGACACTTAAATATCGATGGTCCAGCTACTTCCGTCACGGCGCGACCGTATGTTTCCGCCGAGTCCACTTTCATCCGCACGACCGCAAGTATTCCTAAATTTCGTTCCAATCTCCGTTGATACGGTGGGGAGGCACACGGTTTTACACTTTCTCGCATCGCCGCACATTGCATTTATTCTGCTAGAATATTCCGTCGTGCTATCTTGCAGCGTTCAATCGGATGTTAAAATATTATTCGTTGAGTTAGATCTCATTTCTTGCTTGCGAAGTGACATAACAAATTGACTCGTTAACGTTTCTCCGAGTAATATTTGCAAAATTATGAGTTTTCAGCGATTGTTTCGGACAACAATGTAAATTTTTATTTGATTAATCATATCTTGATACACTGCGTGAACGCATTGTTTTCTGCAAAAAGTATCCGCGTCAGGAAGAACTTTCCATTACCACTTTTTCCGCGAGCATCGGTCTGCCGCAGGAACAATAACCACGGAAATTTCTAGACCGCAACAAATCGCATTATCGTCTTCGTATCGATCTGTTCCTTTATCCACTTGCAATCAATGTTTGCGTTTAAACATAGTTTAACGTAAATATTAGAATAGAATAGGTATAAATTGAATTTATATTTTTACTTATTTAAAAAAAAATTCTTATTTTCACACAAGGTTTGTTAAATAAATATTTCAACATCGTTTAAGTAATAATCGTTGATGTTGAAATATTTATTTAACAAACCTTGTGAAAATAAAGAATTTCTTTTTTTTTAAGTAAGTAAAAATATAAATTCAATTTATATCTATTCTATTCTAATATTTATGTTAAAGTATATCTAAGCAATAAAATGTTACCGTTTTTCGCTTTTTTGATACAATAACGATTAATTAATACATGAAACGTAAAAACCCAGCGAATGGCCAAATATCTATTTTAAATCAAAGTGGCATCTCGTTGTCCGACACGTGCATGTGCCCCGATCAACACCTCACGTAGCAATGTGACCTCAATCGATATTTGAAGTTAAGTACCCTACCAGATGCTCGCGCAATCATTTTAATTAACGTCATGACGTATAAATACAGGATATGCATATGTCGCGCTGAATGCCCTAGAAGCGTTTTGTTATCACAGCATGTGCGCGTCGTCGCGTTCGCTAGCTCATCGATAAGCTGTCTAATTTTACCATTAATTCTATCACCTGTGACATAAATTCGCCTCTCGTAAACACAGCGCCATTTATAACGTCATAAACCAAAAACAATTTATTAAGTTTTACAGACATCGGCGACGCGTATATCACGCGTGGCGTTCGTTGCGCGGATCGTTTCGCTAACTGTTGACCCATTTGTTCTGGCAATCCTGACAGTTTTATTAGATGATCTCGAAAACCATCGAAAACTAAGGAAAAGTAATGGCATACGTGGTCTTAATCATCCACCGATTCTAATGTCAATGAAAAGACAAAACTCGAGATTTGAAGTTATTCAATAAAATCAGAAAGTCTGTAAATGTTATCCAACAAAAAATAAAATCTTAAAATTTGTAACTGATACATTGGTATCATTAAAAATCTTTAATTTAATGAATTTCGTCGGAACAAAATAGACAAGTAGCAGCGCGACTATAATGTATAGGGTAACTCCGGTATATACACCGCACCTATCAAAAACTTAATTTATTAAGTATTATTTACTATGTTTAAAGTAAACGAACTATATCAGTAAAAACTTTGTACTGTCTACTACTATGAAAAAAATATTAGAAATCCGAAATATATTTATTTTTCGTATTAAGAAATGAACTGTTCGAAACCTTTGCATTTTTGCTGTATATCCTATAGGGGTGGGATATATGGCTACTCATAGGGGAAAAGGGGGGTACGTACGGCTCATGAAAAATTTATAAATAATGCTTATAAATAAGATGTAAAATGACACAATAACTTATAAAATGCGTTTATAAAGTTTTATTAAGGAATAAGAATGTTAAATATGTATATGAAATAATAAATATAATAATTACAATCTTCCTACATACTATATATTACAAGTGTTATGACGTGAGGTACATATTTCATGTAATGTATTTATTGCATTTAGTGCACCGAATTCAATCTGCGCTCTTTGTATGCTTTGGGAATAAATCCCGTCCGCTAAAAATGCCTTATATCCCAAACAGGTGGGATATACAAGACTACGAACTAAAGAATATGAAAGCAAAGCACTTGTATTTTGCTATAAAACATGCTTTACTTATTCCTCTACACGTATGTATTACGAAATAACCACAAACAAGTTTTACACGCCCTACAGTAATCATTTTATGTAGATTATAGCTTATGATGGCGCTACTTATTACAGTGACAAATCGATTCAACTCACAATATTTTCGTTAATATTAACAGTAAGAAGCTGAAATCATAACACAATGCTAATATAACATAAAGATATGTAACAGAGTAGTTGCAGGAAAATTACCCCCATTCCTTCTATTATATTTTTTTCTGACTTCTGCAACGTAAATCTCAGCGCGGCGAATTTGCCGGAGTTACCCTATGGTAATAAGAAGTTGAAAATCGCGATAGTATCGTTGATTTCCATTGCAAAGTATCGGCCTGCAAAATATCGGTTTTGCAGTCTGAAATACTACTCGATAGATTCTGATTCTTTACGATCTTACTTGGCAACCACTTTCGATTGGAGATTGGCTTTCGCCGGTTTGGCGCTGCATAATCAAGATAAAGATTGGTTACCGCCCAGTTTCGAGGATCCCTCAGACAGAGAGAAGACTAGGGGTTCTGCCAAGTTCGATTTCGACTCAGCATCGTAACGAAGATTAGATTAGGTGGCATTCACCGTAGATCTCGATTCAAATGGAAAGATTGCTTTGTAACCAGATCCGAGGCGATGTCGGACCATCCAAATCATTCGCCTCTTTGTTTGGTCAATGAGCTCAGCGCGCGACTTCATTTCAAATCTAAAATATCATTGAAATCTTTACGTATAGAGAAACGTTCACGAATCGCGGCATAACTCGTTGATTCATCAAGCATTTTACTCTCGCTCGGTTGCACCGTTCCCGAGGAGTGCTAACAATCAAGACTTGAAAACTTTCCAGGAATAATTTTCATAATTAGAAACTCAACCATATCATTAAATCTGACGTGCGTTCTGATTATAATCTTATTCATACTAATATTAGTCCTAATATTATAAAAGAAGAAAATTAATATTTGTAGTACTTTTTTATTTTAGAAATATAACAAAGACGGAAAAATTACAAGAAGCAGAGAAACTTTTGAAACTTGTTCGAGATAATGCCATTAAAGTACGTAAGTTGGATAAGTTTTTTTGTTGATTTTGTTCATAATGAAAGAAATAGCGAATACCGCAGACATCGTCTATTCCCCGTCGCTAAGTTGTGAGGTGCGCAATCAGTTGATGGAACCGTTAGTCCGGGCTCTCCCAATCCAACGACTGAACTGTCTCTCACATTCAAGTCTTACCCTCGCACCATCTTTCCTTCTTCCTTTCTTCCTTCTCCGTTCTCCGCGTTACCACTCTCGGCGCATTCTCGCATGTTGAATAAAACCGTCGGGTTATACACCGACGCGAACAAAAGGACCTCGCGCTGGCTTCTGGGCTGCTAATGAAATTGTTTTCTAATTTAAACCCGGAGAGACCACCCGACATAGCTACCATTCTACGGTCAAGAGCCCTATTCGAGCTACAAGCTTTTCCGACGATAGCCGCGAGAGAGCTGACAGTGATAGTCTCTAATTTGAGTTCCCTCGCTTTGCTCGCCTTTTAAACTCATTTATGCAAGCAAACAGTTGATATTTTCAGCTGATCCACCATTGCAATATTCTCTTTTTGACTGCATGCGATAATCGGAACATGTTGCAACGAAATATTTAAATAAAATGAACCAGCGGAACGGTGCATACCTTAATATCTATTGATCAGAACATCAAATAATGTATTAATTGTTTGCATATACCGTTTTGAATATGAATTAAGCCGATTATTCTTTCAATAATGGCATGTCTTTTTAACTCGGTAATGATAGAATAAATATACATTTTCTCCTTCATTTCTACTTAACACAAAATGCGATATAAAGACGAAACTATAGAACCAGCAAAATTTTTTTTAAATCCTTCTCAATGCATTATACATACCCAGGTATCCATATTGAATTTTAAACAATGAAAATTTTTATATTTTCGTGAGATTTTTGTTATGACTTAAAAATTCCACTTTCGAACAATAAAGAACAATTTCGCACGGACTTTATTGTTTTCACTTTTATATTTTTAACGATAATCTTGTGAAACATGATAGTGAAAAAGTGAAAAATTATGCATTAACAGTAGGATTAAATCGTATTTGATATATTAGATTGTGCATAGGCTCCGGAAAATAGTTGAATGAAGCGATGACAACAAAATATTTCTTTGTCATGTACAACGTTTAACGATAATTATCTCGCACAATTAACAAACTGATTTTCCGCTCGGGGATGGGCAACCACCTGGAAAGTTTCCTCGTTATAAATAATTGCAAAATGCAAACCGCTCGTAAATGTTACCTACACCAATAGCCAGATTTAAAATACGAGACATTCTTGCGTGACGGAAAGTATTTTTTAACAAACACTCACGTTTTTATCGTATTTGTCTTCTATCAGCTAAAAATGTATTTCGTTGGCGATTAATCGTGTCTATTGTCTACCAATTGAATAACAATATCTACAATCTAATACAGTTTCAAACCTCCGCTATTAAACGCGTAATTAAACTGTATCTGTAATCGGCGGTGAAATAGATTCGAAAACCTATTTGCTTTTTGCGGAAATTATACAATCAAAAGCGTACTGATTCAAAGCTTGACAAAGACGGAAAACAAGTTATTGCTTCTGGCCCTCGGGTGGTGTTAAATTAGAAATTAGAAACTACTCTCTGCAACAAACCAAACTACATTCGTACATTCACGCGGAGAGATTAAACGATAATTTGATTAGTTGGTGTAACTAGTGCACATAATAAATGTTACAGTGCAGCGTAATTTATTCGAATTAAATACTTTATCCTAAGTGAATGTCCTATGACGTGTATATAAAAGCCGAATCGCGTTAACTCGAAAAATAAATGGCGTGTCAGCTATTATGGTATTAAGTAACTTTATTTCTTCTTTGCGAGAAAGAAAAATTCTTATTCTCTTCTTCCATCATATTCCTATTCTTTAAAGTCTAATTACATCAGTGACATTTATTTTGCACAAAATGTGCATATATTATACTTATTTCTGCGCATCTATTGCACATACACTGGAATACGGTTCTGATGAAGAAACGAACCACTTAATGGATTAATGTTTCGACGAACAGATACGTATCCATCCATACCGTGAGAACGAACTATTTGCATGCAACGCGAAATGTACCCCAGAATGGATTAGCTGTTGATAATCGATCATGCACGGACATTGCTAATGTAACAAGTTTCGCCGGGCGGTAATTTCAAGCGTACGCTCGTACTTTCGCGATCGATCCAAGCGCGAAAGCGTAAAGGCAAATTTCATAATGGAAAAGCTGTTATAATATTAATATAGCATTCAATTTGGCCGGCAGCGTGCTTTATTCCACATTATTTTAACGCGACGCGTCGATGCAAAAGATTTTCGCATCCTTTAATTAAAGGTGTTGAAAAATCATTTGTGTACAAATATTTACATCAATTATGAATAAATAGTGCTTATTACAATTATGTAGGTGGCACAAAAAATTCAAAGTTAATAATCAAGTGAAATTAACACACATATTGACGATAATATTTTATTGGTTATTAAACATAAATTACTATTACGGATCGATTTATATTACAAATTTAGTTGCAAAGTATGTATTCGCTTGTAACGAAAATGTGTATGTGCGTTTGCATGCGGGCGAGTACGTCATTTTTATTAAAAATGTATTTACGCATATTCGAAAAAAAAAATATGCACTATTATTTTTGATAATTTCGATGATGACGCGCGTATTTTATATTTATGATAACGGGTTGCGCGGTTAAGTTGCGGTTACGATTTGTGGACAACATTAATATTTATAATAACAGGTTGCGGTTGAAATTAAAAAGAAGGCGCTCCAATTAGGACTGAACATTTAACATTAAAATGATGATATACACTGATAAAATTAATAATGATCCCCTTTTTCTTCTTCTCCACCAGAGTTGTAAGAGCTATGCGTTTCGTAAGATCCCTCGTCACCATTTCCAGAGGAATAATATTCCTTGTGGCTGTACGATTCCGGCTCTTTCTCTGTGTAATGGCTACTATAATGATTTCCATCGTCGCCTCCGGTATAGTGCGAGTATTCGCTTCCTTCACCCCCATCAGCGGTATACTCCGTATCGATCATAGTACCTATAATTTTCATATCGCATTAAACGTTAAATGCTTACGAAGAATAGTTTCACTTTATTCGCAATTTATTTTCAAGCGCTTTGGTGCTTTATAAACTTATGTGCTTCTATAGTTTGGTTAAATTTTATCAAATATATATATATATATATATATATAATTTAATTTTACTGTTAAATTAACAACAGTAATATTTAGTAACATATATAGTTTTTGCGAGATAAATAAAGCAAATAAAAACGAATCTTTTATCACTTAGATTCAAAGAAGTATAGACTGTGCATTCCTATGAAGTTGTCACTTATTATCGATTTAGAAAAGAGTAGTTGGATTCATATTTCTTTCTATCTCTAAAATATTAAATTGAAAAAAAATGCTGATATAATCAATTCTTTCTATGATGCTTGGGAAATGCACGTCTATATCTATTACATCTATATGATCAGTATTTTCTTTTTTTTTTTTTTTTTTTTTTTTTTTCAGATTATCGTGTTAGTATCTGTTAATTCGTCAATTTCAATTACAATTTCTTTACCTGCTCCTTCGTGGTCATTCTTTTTCTCGTCATGATGTTTTTTACGATTATCATCAGCATGGCCTTTGCCATAAGTGGTTTGGGTCTCGAACTCGTATTTGTCGCCATCCTGTTTGTGGAAGGTGTCGAGAGTCTTGTAGCCATGATCACCTTTACCGTAGGTTTCCTTCAAGTAACCCTTCTCACCCTCCGCATCGCTCCCGTAGGTTCTGTAGTAACCGCCTTCGTCTGATTTGCCTAAAACCACATTGTTGTCCGCCCTTGTTACGCTCAACAAGACATCTAACGCCTTCCCGAAATTCTGCACTCGGCAATAAACATTAATTTGACAGATCTCAGAGAGAGGAGAGAGAAAAAATATAAATTATACTCATTTTAACTTATTGTTGATTTCTTTATGATTATATATTTAAATGATAAATTATATTTCTAAGATTGCTTATGACTTTTTTGTATTCTATTAGAGAGAGAGAAACATTAATTATGAAGAACATACCAGATGCATTTTTCATGTGTTTTTTAGTATCTTGTGACTTCGGTGCGTTACCAGCGCTTATTAAGTCCCTTACTCCCGCAATGAGACTTAATGGCGCCGGTTGACGTACCTCACGAATGAGTGAACCAACAGCGACAACATCGTTCTCGACGTTTTCATAAATAATAGATCTGGCCAAGCAATTACAAATGAGCAGGTGCGGGAGCAGTAACACAAACAGTTTCCAATACATCTCGCAGAAGATTACTTTAATCTCGTCGGTTTCAATGATTCCTTGCTCGTTCAATCCATCTCGCTGAATCTTTTATATCACTCCCACCTTCTCATTGTTAGATAAAATCCTCCTGACAGAAACAGTAAGTATTGCATGTATTCGTATCGATCTTGCAAGTCGTCGCTGTGGCCAATCGTTTAAACGAGCAATTTGGCTTGCGCCTCGTTAATTTCGTAACATCTTCCGTGACAGTCGTCTCTAAAGAAAAGAACTGTATCGTGCGAATGCCTGTCCAGGACTTTAGACAGGTTAACGATTGATCGATCGCAGAAATTAGAAAGAACCGGTGATTGTGTCATTCACTATCGTCTTACGTAAAAGCATCTTTTCATCATCAAGGAAGTCACGCCGATTTCGTCGATCGGACTCGTCAGCAATGGCAACTGATCGATTGCACTTTGTCATTAAGCCGAACTATCGATCGGTGCGATATTATCTGTGCCGTGCGTATCGCATGAGTGATCTCACGCTTTCCACGATCGCGAGTATAAAAACCGTGGAATCGAGTTGCCGATAGCTGATAGAATTGTCTGACATAACGGGCTCTAGTACGTTGCCCTTTTAAAAACATTACGATTCTACTTGCGCTACGCTGTAAAAGTTTTATTTAAAGCTGAAATTAAATTCTTTCTTCCCCCCCTCTCTCTCTCTCTCTCTCTCTCTCTGTTCTTTCTCTCCGCAAAATTTTATAGATAGAATTAAATTTATAAGATACAGATATAAAAACCAAAATCTAACTCTATCTTCCAAATTGATTTCAACGAATGAAGGACCTTTGAAAAAAGGCGTGGTAAAGACTACCGTAAACCATCATATTGAATTCACTTTGATATAGGATCTGCAAAGGATTAAATTCAGCTGTATTTAATATCGAGAATATGATGGGAAAACGCATTTGCGTTTTATTGGTTTTAACTTTGTGCATATATTTCTGTGTTTTGATCCGTACTAATATTTAACATAACGACATAAAATGTAATATGGGAGAAGCAATTAGTTCGGAATCGTTATCGCCAGGCGATGTTATATTAACGACTTTGGTGTAAGTGAGAACCCAGTAATAATTATTTCTCGATCGTATTGAACAGTATTGAATGTAATAAAAACGCCGAGATGTGCCATTGCCACATTTCAGTTTATAATGCAGCGAGATGAATGTTCGCTTTTGAAATCGTAACAAGAAAGAAAACTGTGTTTTAATCATGTTTTACTTATTACCTTAGATGTAACATGTTATCTATGCACGAATGCGTATATATCTAAATAGTTCAGAATAATTTGAAAATATCTAGAGAATGTTGAATCGCTCTATTGAACATATTATTTCACAATTGTTGCACGATTATTTGTTTCACTTAAATGATTATTATTTCGAAGTTTCTAATAGTAAATAAGCTAAAGTTTTTGCCAGAACAAATGGGAAATCGATACAGAGTGGAAAATACCCTTCACTTACATCGATTTGTGACAATATTGTGCTACTTAATAAAAAATTAATTACTTTTTTACATAAATGTCGTACTCTAAATTTTATGTTAATTGCAAAATAATTTACTTCAGAAAAAAATGAAAATTTATCTTAATTATTTTTTACAAAGAAATTTATGTACAATACATAAATACGAAGAAAATTATTTATTTCTAATTATTTAATTGCAATTTATATTAATTAAAAAATTGTAAAACGCGTAAATTTATTTATGGTAATTTTATGAAGTACTGCAATTACATCAAGCTATTACAGTGAGACAAATTGCTCAAATTTAAATTATCCTGTTATTACAAAATTTTAAGTAAATTTACGTAAGCTTATGTTAATAGTGGCACAGTGTCTTTATTTGCATTTCTATTTTGAAAATTATTAATCTCGATTGTACTTTAATAACATTTGTAATTATGTTAAATTTAATACAAATATAATATGTGTTAAACTTATTGTTAGTATCTTCTTCTAACTTGTGTCTTCATTTAATCCGTACATCAACGAAGATATTCAGGAAGTGATCATTAATACTAACAGCATCATTCGTCAGATGCTGTCGGCACAAGAAGCTACTAAATCTCGAACTTCATTCGTCCACTTGGCAAGAGGAGCCGCGAGGAGAGAGGGGGGAGGGAGAGGTGTTAAGATGATCGTCACTTAAAACCATGCGACCCGTGTCGACGACGTTAAGCGTCTTAGATAGTTGCTACGCCAGCCAGTTTCCCTGGCATAATCCGGTAATTTGAAAATCTCGGATGGAATGTAACACCTCGTACCAACCACCGTCTTGAATGTACTAAGATCCTCGTTTCATCAACCCCTGTTGCATCACAGTCTCCCTCCAAGTTAGCCAATGCAAGCTTCGAGCCGCAACCCTCGAAGCAAAGTAAAGCCTGTGGCACCAGAAATAGTTGAGATGGAGGGGTTGCATCGCGTCAAGGGCTGCATTCTGATTAGGGTAAAAGGAGAAGTCTGAGTAGCCTCATTGGTATGCAAGACCCGCTGATCCCTGCGATTTACTCAGTACCCTCTTTATACAAATATGCCGCATTATATATGAGCGAATTTGTAGCAGATAACGAATCCGTAAATCGACTTTCTTGATATTTGATTCTAATTAAGTATTTAATAATTTCTTAAATTAAGATATTTTTTTTATTTAAGTTATATGAATTATATATACAGTTCTAAATGTACATTCTTAATGTACATATTTTTTAAGTACGGAAAAAGTTAAAAGTAATGAAATACACTAAATACAATTGAAAATTATACATTCCATATCTCCAATATATTTTCAATATTCAGAAATTTAATATTTACTTATTAAAATATTTACTGTCTATGGAATACTTTAGATGAATCTCTCTTCACTCATGCCTACTATGGTTGAAAGGAGGAACTTTTATGCAACTGTTCTTGCAAGTAGTAAAACGAAGGTAAATGGAGATATCCTCAAGCGGTAACGTTCAGTATTTTATGTAATAAATAATCTAGCGTTGGTATAAACGTCTTTTGTATCTATAGAGTTTAAAATACTGTTTGACTTATTGAAACGCTTCTCATAGAATGTTATCAGGACTGTTAAATGTGAATGTTAAATTATCATATACCGATATCGTGTGATTGAGAGATTGCTCTTATCAGGAATTAATAAGACAGGAAACAAAGCAACTTTCTTGATACAAATCTTGGTTCTCCAACATTGGATAATTGTATTATAAGATTGATACAATATAATATAAATTTGCAAAAGCATATTCGACTATTGATCATCGGTAACAGACTCGCTGTTAGTATACTAAAAATCATTATTACCGCATTAGTACATTATAATTTTATTATTTTGCAATTAATGATAGGATTAATAGTATTGTGAAAAACGTGAAGCATATATTTATTCATATAAATGAATATAAAAAGATAAATAGATATATAGATATACATACATATTAATATTTGTGTTTCTAATACAAATTCATATAGTAATGCTACATTAAATGAATAAAAGCTATTTGTATGCATATTTTAAAAATCTCTTGAAAAGATTTTTCATATATAAATCAATAAAGTAATATATATTTCTTAGTAGACTCAAGAGATGTCGACACTGTACTCGCTTTAGAAGTTTCCCGTAGGGATTCGCAGTCATTTGAGCTTTGCGAATCCACAATCCCAGCTCAATACACTGCGGATATTCACATACATTTACGTACTATATATTCTCATATATGCACTTTTCTCTGATTAATAGCTAAAGAAGAATGAGAACCATAAGATGGAAACGAACCGATGTGTTTGATACTTGGCGCCGAAACACTTATACCGTGTTTCCTGACAGATGAATCAAAAGACAATTAAAGCTAAAACTCATTTTTATTTATATTTAAAAAAAATATTGAATATTCTGTTTTATAAATTTTTCATATTTTTTTAAATATTTATTTTTTATATTTTAAATAAAAAGAGTCTAACTTGTAATAAGTTATTTTTAATTAGTCTATATTGCGTAATAACTGATAAAAATCTGTCTATATTCTTGAATGCAACGAAAATTTTAATTAACATAAAATGGCATTGCGGAGAAATTTTATTCAACATGTTACTTTCAAAGGCGCGTGCATTACTTTAATTACTTTAATTGAACATCTTTGTTAAGCAAGATACTCTACATCATAAAAACATGTCGCTTCACATCAAATGTCGGATTAATCTAGTAAGGATGTTAGCTCAGCGAGTGGAGAATGGGTAGCGTAGACGAGATATGGGCAGACGAGGGGGAAGAGCGACGCAATTAGGAGAGAACATAAATCCCGCAGTTTAGCACACTTCCTCACCATGCCAGCAGATCGCAGAATACAAATCAATCAGCATAACGGTCGACTGAGCATTTAATTTCCATTCGGCTTCTGATCGAGTGGGATTCGCCGATTCCACAGCGCTGCGTGTCGGTGCTTTGCCGTAGAGCCGCTTGTGTGTGGCGGCGGGGCCACCGTAGACACATACGATATCTCGATCCCGCATACCCCGTGTGTTCGCCACTCATCCTATTGTGGAATCTCTCGAAACGGGTCAAACGCAACGGACGACGGGGCGCAAAAAGGATTTTGCGCGTCCCGTAACGAGCTCAACGATGGCGCGATCCCGATTCGCACGCGATGCGTAGTAATTCGAGTTTGCACGAGTGGCCGGTTTTTATGTGCTCTCTCTTTAACACGATCCTGGAACAAGATGTTACTGGAATCTAAAAGCCTAGTTTTCAACGAATTAATAGCGTACGTTGCACTCTTAACCCAGGAATAGTCACCTGGAGTGTTTTTATATCCCAACAGCGAAAAAATGTGAATTGTAAAATAAATATTGTTTTCTTTCTTTTTGGATATATTTTCTTCCTACTTTTTTTAATAACTATTTTTTATAAATCTTTGATGAACATACAATATTCTATCGAAAACTTACAATAAAAAAGCGTTTATATTAATTAAAAATCATTATTTTTTAA